TCTGGATTCTGGAAGCTGGGATTTCAGGCTGAGCAGCTGGGCTGAGTGGGCTGGCCTGAGCTCCTCCAACAGCACGGACATGGCTCCAGAGCCCTCTGTGCTGGCTTCAACACTGTCCCGCTCTCCCAAGCTGTTTTGGCCACATGAGACATGACATCTACCAGACAGGTCGGGCCTCAGCCTGACACCCCTAACAAAAGTGTTTCCTCTCTCCCCACAACCCCCCATCGCCACAGCCTCTCTGCCACTAAGCCATGGAGCCAACTCTGCGCAGACAGGTGGTGTTGGGAAGATGGGATGCGATGTTGCAATGTGAGTCATCTCCTACCAAAAGACATTTTAAATGCAGTGTTAGTTTTATTTATTTTCTTAAAGTTAAAGAATGAGAAAATTACAAAGAAAATGAAATGAGAAGATTATTATAAAAAATACATAAAAATCTTATATTGTTCAATAAGACAACCTCATAGGAAAAAGATAATTTACCAGAAAAAGAAGCATAAATGATGTATAGACAAATCACAAAGGAAAAAAAATTACAAAGATAAATGCAAATAGCCAATATGCAGATATAAGAGATTTAAAAAACCCTTATAGATTCAATAATAGGTGCCTAAGTAATTTCTATAAAATTTACATTATAGAAAATTATGAAGCCATGGTAGGGAAAGAGGAGGAATTTTATTAAGTGAAGAAAACAACAGCCATGTAGATATGATTCCATGTATAAGAATAGATACATGCTGTTGTTGTCGTCATGTGCCATCGAGTTGCTTGCAAACCATAACAACCCTATGTACATCAACTCTGAACCCTGCCCTGTCCTGAATAAGTCTAATTCTGACATATCAACACCTATTTTCCCAGGCACCCATCTCATTCGGGATGTTCCTCTCCTATGCTAATCCTCCACCCTTCCAACCAAGATGTTCTTCTCTAAGGAATGGTCTCTCCTGGCCACATGCCCTATGAGACAGAGCTTCAAAATTCTAGCCTCCAAGGAGAAACTTGGTTTCATTCTCTCCAAGACAGACCTATTTGTTTTCTTGG